AAAAATTAAAAAAAATAACAAAAAAATCGTCTTTTCAACCAAAGTACAAACATTCAATAAGTCAGACCACATATCTAATAACAGAGCATAGTTTATTGTAACAGAAATCAATTATTCTTTTTATTCTATTACTATATAATTTTAATATCTTCATTGTCATTATTTTGTTTAAGACATATTTTGTGTTAGCAAAATATAATTGTTAAATTTGAACATTGCTGTCACACATTATCATTTCAATGAAAAACATGCAATATATCATTTGTTAGGTGCAGGGGTTCAAAAGTCTCCCACAAATCATAGGAGTCTCCAGGAAATCGGGACGGCCTCCCACAAGCAAGCAAGAATCTCCCGGGAAAATAACCCACCTCCCGCAAATTCATAATATTTGCATGTTTTCACTGCTTTATTATCAATTGATGATGTGTAGCAAAATTAATTGCGTTAAGAAAGCTCATTATACCGATCAGTAGTGGATTCAAGAGGGGGCGCCCCAACCATGGCGGGGCTGAGGTGGTCTAGACCCTCTATCTGTGAAAGTCCCTCCCTGGAACTGTCACTGCAGTCTCTCAGAATTGACCCTTCCCACTTGGGACCCCTGTATGTGTGAAGTTTCAAAAACTGAGATTGAGCTGGATATGTTCAACAGCAGGTTACATAATGAAGATTTCATGCAAACAGCACCCTTGTAATTTATAAACACACAGTACACCTATGTACCCCTTTTCTGTTACATTACATATACTGTCATAATGTAAAGTAAGCTACGATGACGACATGCAGTTTCTGATGCTGTAAACATTCAACAATTTTCACAATAAAAACACAGATTAGCAAAAACAATAAACACTTATGCAATAGAGATAGCTCCATTTTTATAATGTATGTCTTAATAATAATAATTTTTACCAGATTTGATTAACATCAATTTACAGTATACCAATTGACATGTATACCATACATCATTAAACACAACCCTACCCCCTAACTTACAGTACATTCAACATGGAGGTATAACAATATTTTTATTCTATTCTATACCTCCATGCTTTCAACTACTGCATAGTTGTTTTAATCCTCTATAATACATTTTTTATATTGAAATTGTTAGACTCGCATACAATTTGGCCTTTGAGCCACGATTTGTGACCAACTTTAATTTTGATAATAAAGTGAAATATAATATTATATAAAATACATACTGTAGTTCATAAGAATGATAGAAGAAAGTGAATGTACCGTAAATGACCCCAAAAAAGCAAAAATGCTCTACAGTACAACTTATAGAATTTTTGGAAGCTCCAATGCGGTGCATATACAAATGGAGTTTCTTCGTGAGCAGCACTTTTTAAGCAAATAATACAGAAGTATTCTATACACTAGATGAGTGATATTGTACGTAGTATCAATTACTAAAATATTCCCTGCTCCACTATCATTACTCACCTTAAACTACGACTATTAATTTTTTGTTATTAAACCAGGGCATGTTGATTAAGATGTATTCTCAATTAAGCGCAACAATACCTAATTAAAATTGATTACAACTCTAATAAGTGAGAGAGAATTTAATTAAAACGGATTTTAGTGGGGAAAAAAATCATGATGGTATGGCGCAAAGTATTTATTCAAAATTGGTGCTTGTTAGAAAGAGTGCCTAATTCGGTAACCATAGTACAAAGCGGTGCTATATAAGGTCTGTGCTAAACATTTCCCTTTACAGTAAATCTCATTTCTTATTGTCTTTAACATCAAAAACTAAAAGTCTATAAATACCTATAAGCTTACTTATGGCTTTACATTCTATACTTATTTTTACAGTCAACTACTTAATGAAAGTGCAACAAATCCATTAATGTGTAAAATAATGTAACACTACAATAATGATATAAAATTTGACAATCTAAAGATGATCTAATTTCATGTTATAGTAGAACATAACAGTATTACACAAGTGATAATTATACTAAAATATCCAACAAGAAAAAAAAAAGCTTTATTCCAATTTAGCCAAATTATATTTCGAAATACTACTACGGCCAGCTTCAAGTTCTTCCTCATTATGTTGCAAACACCATACACAAAATATAAATAAACCACTTTTTTTCCTGCTTTGCATTCTTCAGATGCGATGTGAAGATGGTGGTCATATGTACGCAATAATTATGTGCATAAACAATAACTTGGCACACTATTTGAAAATGAGTACAGTGACTCTTTATCAACTCAACATAGGACTGTTCCACTAGGCCTTCCCCTTGGATATTTTTGGTAAGGTTAAAAAAAACCGACAGGAATCCATAGAGGAACATGGCCGAGCGTGCGGTTGTAAACGTGCCTTTCCTGGTCCTGCCTATTGAATCACACATTCTGATTGGTCAGTTAAGTTTCACATTTTGGAAAGGTCTATAATGTAATGTTATGTTAGCGATAAGAATAACTGTTATATGTAGGAGAGTGATAATGTACTCACTAGTGGTAATCCTTGGCCAATGCGCCTAATCTGAATATCTGCAAGGGTTCACCTGCTCAGTTTGATTGAGCAGTGGAACCACACTCTGGTCAAGATGGCCATCACATTATTTTTATTTGCTAACCTATTGAATTTAAATCTATGCAGTTCCGAGGGAGTGTCTTGTGTGATATACCGCACGCAAAACATATACAATAGCCGCAACTTACTGCAACAAAACTATTGGCCGTTCATTAAACCCATGATGACGACAGAAGTTACTACTAAATCTGAAAGATAAAAGATGAAAACATATTCATATACTGAACAGTATCCTTTCCATTAAAAAAAAATGTATTTGTTTTGCAGAAGTCTCTCTTTCTCCAAGTGGTATATATCAGTACTTGATAGGATGGATGTTTGGAATGACTAGAGACTGCACTGTTTATGTTTATCTAGTAAAAATGAATAAAAATGAAATTTGAAGTACATAAACAAAGCATTACAAATCTGCAATTGAATTAGCAAATGTTTTCCTTATGCTGGGACATATCACACATGTTGCATACGCCCACTCTCTGCTTTGGCAATATGGTTTCCAATCTTTCCAAATGCTTACAATAAGAAGCTTTCGATTGCAGTAGGACGTAGAACGTAATGATTTTACTAAAAGTCACGTAAGTTCTCCTCGTCGCATGGATTCTAGGACGCAGTTTGGCCAAATCTATGTATGCAGAGAAAGTAGGACGCCCAGTAGGACGGTCACTCACGCATGAGTGATTCTGTTCTAGCATATCGTCGTTGCGCAAATAAAAAGCTCCCAAATATGAACATTCTTGTCCGGTTGCGGGAGTGCGAGAGGCTGTCCTAATTTCCAGGAGACTCCCATGACTTTCAAGAAACTTGAGCCGACATAAGCGCTACCAGCAACTAGCAATGTTGAGTCGCAAGGGGAACATTAGCTTAGATTTAGTCAAATAAAATCTATGTTGAGCATTATATCCTGCCAGGTAGTGGGACATGCAAGGCACAAGCTATTTGCTAGCATCAGTCTCAAATTCTTCCGCTGAAAGCCCAGTGCCTTACTGTACTTCTGCATCATACGATTCAGTCGGAGCAAAGAAAATATTGAAAACTGTGGGAGTCAAACCAGCAACCTTTGGATTAGCATTCTGACATTTACATCTCCTTACATATATACTGATAAAGCCCTGTCTAGATGATCAAATTTTATTTGACAAAAACATGTGACATGCCTAAATATGGTCATGATGACATCACATCATGACCATATATAGGTACATCATGACTATATATGGGCATACAACAGTTTTTTGTCAAATGAAAGTCTATAGTCTAGACAGGGCTTAATGAAAAAAAACAATTTATATAATCATACATCATCAATTTCTTCTTCATCTCCACCCTCTGTAAAATCAAATGTGATCTCGTTATCATCCTCTTCTCCAAAGGTAACAGTCTCATTGATCTTGAAACTTTCAGGCAGTTCTCCGTATGTTTTCAGATTCCTTGCTTCCTCGGGCGTGTACTTTAATATCACATCTGCTTTTGCATCTTGGTAATCACGAAGACCAACTAGGATGATATCTGCTTGATTTATCCACACCTAGAAAAGCATTGAAAACATATGGTAATACATTAGGTTTTCAGATCAAGTCCAGATGTTTGCTGCCATGGATGTGAGATCATGGAGTATTATTGAGAAGGAGATCACTCGGCAACAGATCCCTTTGATGCGACAAACCTATGTGTTCCCCGCTTTTGGATCGCGCGCGGGCGTATTACCCTATAATTCACATTTTTCATTAGCAACAACTTGGCAACGACATGCATTTATACGCTTCCAGCAGAGCAGTTGTGCAATAAAACGTTTGATTTTAACCCATTAAATATCTTTATAATGAACAATGTTCCCCTGATTAGATTTTTTCGGGCTTTTGGTATGTTATTATTTGTATATTTCAGGAACGGATTCCATAAAATATTTATGTCAAAATTACTTCTGTGTTCATTATAATTTTGTCTAAACATTGACTGGTTCGACTATAAAGCTAAGTCAGCGTAAAACTGAAAAATACTCAGATTTTGGATTCATTTTTCGAATAGTTAACCCTCGTTATACACATCTAGATGAATGACTTAGTTTATTATAATCCTTAATCATTTATTAATTAATATCTGTTAAAATTAGAATTGGCGAATTTTGGCCAATTTATGAAAATTGAAGTTGAAATATACTATACTTTTATAGGTCATGTAAGTGTTCCATTAAATTCGAAACTTTTCTTGGAGGAAAATATGAATATGTTTGATATTTTATGAGAGATAAATGTATCAGCTTCAAAATAGAAAAGATTGCGCAGCCATAGTGATTGACAGTATGTAGTGCGCATTGAGAAAAGAAGGTGCTCTCCATTTCGTCATGTTNNATTTTTTGGTCAACTATGCCTGCTGAAAATTTGATGGCGGGGAACACATGGGACTTCAAAGGCATCGCGCAAACGTTCTTTACGCGCTGCGGCAACTTTGATCTTGGTTCATTTGCATAGCGCTGCATGCGCATGGCTTTGCCGAGTGATCTCCTTCTCAATAATACCTCCATGGTGAGATCATGTCTGACAAGATTCACTCAGGGCACCAATGATGCGGGTCCATGTCCACACCTATCCAAACATACCACTATTGCCCATAAACTCGCTGGCAGTGGTCACCAGAACATGAACTCATGAGCTGGAGGTTCAGGCAAGAACCCAGAGGTATGATCTAAAAATAAATACTGTATGTTTGTTTGTGTTTCATTACTGTTGATAGGAATGATTGTCATTATTGTGGCAGCCTTTATATCTTGCAATATGGGATAAAACTTGGAAAGAAGGCTTGGCAGTAAGCATTAATCACCAAAGCAAATTGCATTCAAAAATAAATCACTAGAACACATGTAGATAGACGTGGATTTGTACATCAGTTTAGGGTTTTTCTAAATTTGAATGTGGCTTAAATTTTACAAGTCTTTTCTTAAACAAATTCTGCTAATTACCTATTTATTGATTCTTTTTGTTAGATCAGTGGTGGGCATAAAATAGCTTGAAGTGACTTTTTATATTAACATTGAGGGCTGCACACAAACTAAGCACATGCTGTGTACACTTCCAATTAAATTTGATTATGATTGGTTGATCTAATAATTAACCCTTTCCAGTCGTTTGGCGTCGTGATGACGCCCTCTTTGACCATGCTTTATAGCGAGGGGTATCGTACGTAGCCCTACAGGTATAGATTTCATTATAATTATTTTATAGCTAGGCTGCACTCTATAGGATTTTTTGAGAGTGATGTAGGAGTATTTCTGTAGAGGGCCTCCTGTATTCAGACCAAATGAAATGCCTGCGCCCAGTAAAAAGCCGACATTTAGTGTAGATGATGTAATTTCCCAGTTTTGGTACAGCCTAAGGCAATGGTAATGGGGCAGACTGGAAAGGGTTAACTGACTGCAATAAAAAATTCAGGGGGAGTGTACCTTCATTGTTTATGGCAAATTTGCAACAATTAGATCCAGTTCAATTAAATTGTGTACATATACCTTTTTCCTTAGCTTGCCTCTGATATGACATAAGCGCTTTACTCCATCGATGCACAAAGCTTCTAATCTTCCATTACCCAACATCTTTATAACTTGAGCATATTCTAAGGGAAGCCACAAAGGTTAATGATCACATAGACACAATTACTACACAAAAGTCTAATGGAGGGAAGCATTACAAATGAGGCCTGTCGTGGCAAAATGATTAAGTTGTCGCACAGGCCAGTATTGAGTAAATGATCTTTAAAATATGGGAGCTCAAAAAATTGCCAAAAAATCCAAATTTGTTTTTCACTACTGTACAATCAACAGTTTAATGTCTTGTTAATCATGTCCCAAAGTATTAGTTCTGAAAGTGGTCAACAAATCATTTTTTTATTGTTATTTTGATAGTTAATTCTATTAAACAATGTATGCACAATTAACTTTGAAAGGCAATTACAGTACTCAAAACCATGTTTATCTTGACTCTAAAGAGTGCTGTACTTTCATTTTCCAATAACTTAGGCTTGAAATGTCCAATTTCAATGAATGACCCTCATTTTAAAGATCAAATACTCGGGTATCTGAAAATACCAATATCTTGAACTTCAATTTTTGCTACAACTTAGCCATTTTGCCACAACACGCCTCAAATGTTTGCCTGTCAGTCATAGGAATCCACAAGATTTCAGAATTCTTCTCTTGCCGCAAAACTAACTTTACTTAATCAGTAAATAATTCAATTAACTATTAGATTGATTTGAAAATGTCGCATTCTTTTCATTTTAAAATAGATTACTCCAAAATAATTTATGAATTGTGTTATATAAGTAGTAATGGTTTTTCAATTTCCAACCACTTAAAGACATTAGATTTTTTGGGTTAGTGCAAGACTCTCTGATTGAGGACACTTGTGATGGACAACACATTGTAGCAAGGACTCTTAATAATCAAATGCTTATTTACTCAACTAATAAAGTTTTCATTTTCTTTCTTTATTTTTTTTTTCACTATTTACCTTGACCATCATCTTTAAACACCAATTCTCTCTTCTGATCTTCATTTTCATTCTTCCCTCTTCTTCGATTCTTTCCTCCCTTTCCTGCAAAGATAATTATCAGATATAAATATGTTACCATTACAAGATTAGTAATAATAATAATGCATTTACTGAATTAATTGTATTTATTTATAATCTAATTTTTTTCTGTGCCTTACATCCTTAGGCATGAAGGTGCTATATTATACAAATATTTACTGGGTTGAGGGGAATTATGTTCAAAAAATAGCATGAGGTGATCTGGAGGCTGTATTATAGTACAGCCTGCAAATCACCAAAGGCTATATTTTGAACTATGACCCAATTAAAACCCAGTAAAAATTTGTTTTATATACCTCTACATACTGTAAATTGTAGGCATTAGAGGGCATGACAGGAACTATTTCCCGGCTTATAACCAATCAAATGCCTTGATCTATGTAGTCAGTGTGTGTGTATATATATATATATATATATATATATAGAATATAATACAGTATAACGTAACAGTAAAGAAACTCAAATACGTAAGATGTTGACTTTAGAAACACTAAAATTTATTAGGCGAATATTTCGGCTACTCCTGTAGTCTTTGTCAACGCTTGACATATTATTTGTTCATTATCATTAATCCTTTATAGACGTATGCCGACTTGCTTTGACTTAATTACCGTATTGTTTCTCAAATTGTATATTGCTAAGATAGTTTCTCAATATGTTCATTTTATGTCAAGCGTTGACAAAGACTACAGGAGTAGCTGAAATATTCGCCTAATAAATTTTAGTGTTTCTAAAGTCAACATCTTACGTATTTGAGTTTCTTTACTGTTACGTTATACTGTATTATATTCTACATATGTTTCGAAACACACGTGGACACGCCTTCTTCATATATATATTATATATATAATATTACTATTACTGATACTTTGACCCGATAACTATTCAACTTCATGGTTTGACAAAAGCTCTGAAAGCTCTTATTAAAAGTGGAGCCAAACAGTAGCTAGGTTGTGGTTAATAGGGAGTTTCGATTTGTGCGACGACGCAAGGCTAGAACGGAATTACTCATGCGTGACCATCCTACCTGGCGTCCTGCCTTCTCTGCATGTGTAGATTTGGCAAAATTGCGTTCCAGAATCTATACGCAGATGACTTTCACTGACGTCATTACGTTCTATGTCCTACTGTCATCATGCAATCAAAAGCTCCTTAATGAGGCTACTCAACTAATATTGTACCAAGGTCAAGGGTTAAAATCCTGAATGTCTGACCTTGCCAGAGACATTTGATATTCAAACCTAGGGCAACTGTCACTTCTTGTACTTAAGCACACTCTCACGAGCGAGGGAGACTTACAAGAAGGTGCATGGGGAATACTGTATATCCTCCATGCAAAAATTTGGCCTACCAATCCATGTGCATTTAAACAAAATAAGGGCCACTTTCTACGCAGATTTTTAAATACTGCATTATGCAGTAATTACGATTCTGCGCAGCTATTTCCATAGTGATTTTCTGCGCAAATTTGAGCTATTTGCGCAACAAGGCCTAGGCCTAAACATATTTTCCAATATGGCAGAGCATCATCATGTCAAATATGAGCCAGAACCCCCATGATGGGATGGCAACATGAAACATTTCTCCTGTTTCTCCAATAGTAGTATATGTCATTTTGGTGGCTTCCAGTGTACTCGGCCCTTAACCGACTCGGACCAAACCGACTCGGACCATACCGACTCGGCCCTTCGCCATTCTCAGCGATTGTCAACTCAGCCCTTAACCGACTTAGCCCATATAACCAACCCGAACATGTCAACTCGGCCCTTAACCGACTCGGTCCTTAACCAACTCGACCCATACACCAACTCAGCCCTTGTCATCTCAGCCCTTAGCTAACTCGGCCCATTCACCAACTGGGCACTTGTCACTCGGTCCTAAACTCTACTCTATACTATAGAGTACTATATATAATTTGTGGAAAGAATCGTTACAAATAAATTCCCATCGTACTCTTAAGGTTGATTATTAAATATTACAGTATCACTTGGTGTTACTTATTTTTCTTTTTTTTTTTTACAGAAGAAACAACGCAAATGTTACTGGTCGACTGGTTTGAGACATTTTTTTGACTCACTCAGCAGTGTCACATTTTTTCAAGTTAAACAAATTATAATTTGAGTTTGAGTGAGCCAGGTAGCTAACCTAAATAAATGGTGAGCTAAATAGGCCTTTGAAAAAACACATTTTACGTAGACTAATACGTTAATTACAATACCTTCTATGCCTAATCATTATCAAGTAAGTAGTACAGTAGTAGGCCTAGCCATAAGGCTACAGTATACTGCCCTATCAGATCTTCTCTGATAAAGAACAGATTGGCTTAGCCTAGGCCTAGCCTAACCTAGGCTTCCAACACAGGAAACATGATCAGTATGGTTAATCTATCTTTGATTAACCGTTAGGTAGTACCTTTATTTTTCGGCATGTTGTTTCACTGGGTATATTTAAGTCAGGATATGATATTAATAGAAATATCAGATGAGTGTAAATACAAAAATGACAAAGTTAATCAAAACACTTATACAACTCCTCGCGTTATAACTCTTGCAAAATGTGCAATCACAGAGTGAGGTGGGCATGCGCATATCGGAATGATGGCGGGCTCCATATCTAATAATAGGATTTGCGTAATGTTTTGTTTTTTGTTATTTGATGAAACCAAGAGTAAGCTGCCATTCTATACTCTTTAATGAAACCATCACCTTTTTTCATATGCTAATGTCACATACATTCAAAAAAAGATATGTTCATTCAAATAGATTCGGCTTTTTTTAATAGGCCTAATTAATCAAAACTATATAAAAAATGAATCACGAATAATATATACACATATATATTATATATATATAAAAATACATTAATAAACTTATACTTATTGCTAAGTTTTCAATTTGCAGATTTAAACTCGGGAAATATAACAACCCAAATCGGAGTATTGCACAATGACTTGCTTATTAGAAATATACAATATATGTGAAGGTACAACAATAAAAAAACAATAAAAATAATAAATATAAAATGAAAAAAAAAAAAAATTAATGACCTATTCCCATATGAGAATTGTAGGTGTTGACTTGATGGCTGATGGGATATTGTGTTCAACTTCTATGTGGATGATGGGCGGAGAAATTGATAATTGTTTTGCTGTTCAGTTAATTTATTCTTCGTTTGATTGTTTGATGTATTTTTGTTATTGATTACTTGCTTACATTACTGATGTATTGATTGATTGATTGATTGATTGATTGATTGATTGGTTGATTGATCGATCGATTGAGGGATAAGCATCAAAATATATCAAGCTCGCGTCATTTTATATATATATAAAAAAAAACGAAAAGTTGAAATTTAATGTCTTAATCTTAATTTGAGTTGAATGTATCAAATTTTTGATTGATTTATGATTGTTTAAAGGTCAGATTGATTGAAAAAATAATGAAATACCGAAAATAATGAAAAAAAGGTATATAAAAATGGTAGGAACTGCAAATAAGAGAGAGAGAAAAAAAAAAGAAAGAAATCAAATATATAATTAGCTTAGACTAAGTTTGACAAAGAAATGATGATTATGAATTCATGTTGAAGATGAAAATGAATAAAAGTGGTGTTTTAACACACAAGAAAAAAAAATCTTCATGAGTGAGTGGATAGGAAGATAATGGAGGTATACGCTATTACGTTCTACATTCGCATTTTGAGCACTATACGTCGCTGATCTTGACAACCATATTTTGTATATAAGACAGACAGACAACAATTTTAAGGAGAGATAGAATGGATATACTACTTCATTTCGCAACGAAAAATACAAAAATAGCACGGCGCTTAGCCAATACATTTGGAAAGTTAAAGGCGAGAATATAAAATCAGAAATTAAATGGAAAATAGGCCTATTAGCTAAAAGCAAACCCTACCCTACAAGTTGAATATACAATCAATTGGACCACAAAATAAAAGTTCAGTCGACAAGTTAATGAGTGGAATAATTACAAGTAAAATGATAAGATGTCGGCAATAGCATTGATTATGTAATTGCAATATACACAGAATATAAATATGAATTAGTAATGAAAAGTGACATGCGATAGAAACATTTTTTAATTAATCTAAACTTTTTTTAATGGAAAATAGGAAGTGTATAGAATAAATAAAAACAAAGGACCGAATAATACACGAAATGAAGCGAATAGAACGAATGGCATGAACAGAATGACACACAAATGAATGAAATAAAACGAATGGAATAAACGGAATTAACAAAATGAACGAAATGAACAGTATGAACAGAATAAATGGAATAACAGAATCAACGGAAACAACGAAAGAAACTGAATGAACGAAGTAAACGGAAATAACAGAATGCACGAAATAAACTAATTAAACGAAATGAACGCCGGCAGGAAAGGGCGAAAAACAAAATTTAGAAGGCGTAACACGGTGTAGCTCTATAATCAAGTTGATAAACTTATCATTGAAACACATATTGTACAAGTATAATGATCAACCTACATATTAAACGTTGAGTGAATTAAATTAAAAAAAACAAAAAACAAAAACAAAAAAAACGAATGGAATAAAAATAAATAAACATGGTTCATAGGAATCTTCTCCTCTATCAATAGATAAATTTAATAGCTCAAAATATAGAAATATTTACAAAACACATACGCTGCGAGCAGGGTTCGAACCTGCGCGGGAAGATCCCATTGGATTTCAAGTCCAACGCCTTAACCACTCGGCCATCACAGCTACACATATACACACATCATAAGACCTTATCAGTGGGCGGATCCAATGAAGCTAATGCAAAAATAGATAATTGGCCGTGTCACTTCGTTTGAATGTCAGTCGTTTTTTAACACAGGGCCTCCTATTTTTCATTTGCGTCTGAAATGAGAACGAAAATTTTAATACTTAATTAGGAAATCAGTGGGTCCTATTAAACACAAACAGTCGAAATTACAATACAGCACAGAAAACAAATATGAATTAGTAGTGACTATTGAAAAATGTCATGCAATATGAAAATTTGTATGTAATTTAAACTTTTTTTTTATTTAGAAAATAGGAAGAGTACAGAATAGGCCCAGGCCTATATAAAAGGAAGATAATAATGATCGAATGGAACGAATGCACAGGAGGGAGTGAATAGAACGAATGGCAGGAATATAATTACACAAGTGAATGAATGAAATAAAAATGACAGTAATAAACGGAAGGAAGACAGGAACGGAATGAACAGAATTAATAGAAAGCACATAAAAAATGGAAAAATTAAAGAAACTATGAATGAACGGAATTAACATAATCAACGTAAATAACAGAATGAACGGAATTAACCGAGGAAGGGCGAAATGAACAAATATCCATTCTATCTCTCCTTAAAATCGTTTTCTGTCTGTCTTATATACAAAATATGGTTGTCAAAATCATCGACGTATAGTGCTAAAAATGCGAATGCAGAACGTAGTAGCGTATACCTTCATTATCTTCCTATCCACTCACTCATAAAGATTTTTTTTTTCTTGTGTAGTAAAACACCACTTTTATTCATTTTCATCTTCAACATGAATTCATAATCATCATTTCTTTGTCAAACTTAGTCTAAGCTAATTATATATTTGATTTCTTTCCTTTTTTTTCTCTCTCTTATTTACAGTTCCTACCATTTTTATATACCCTTTTTCATTATTTTCATTTATTTTATTTAAGACAGACAGAAAACGATTTTAAGGAGAGATAGAATGGATATTCTACTTCATTTCGCAACGAAAAATACAAAAATAGCACGGCGCTTAGCCAATACATTTGGAAACTTAAAGGCGAGAATATAAAATCTGAAATTAAATGGAAAATAGGCTAATGTAATAGAAACATGTTTTAATTAATTTAAACCTTTTTTAATGGAAAATAGGAAGTGTATAGAATAAATAAAAACAAAGGACCGAATAATACACGAAATGAAGCGAATAGAACGAATGACATTAACAGAATGACACACAAATAAATGAAATAAAACGAATGGAATAAACGGAATTAACAAAATGAACGAAATGAACAGTATGAACAGAATAAATGGAATAGCAGAATCAACGGATACAACGAAAGAAACTGAATGAACGAAGTAAACGGAAATAACAGAATGCACGAAATAAACTAATTAAACGAAATGAACGCCGGCAGGAAAGGGCGAAAAACAAAATTTAGAAGGCGTAACACGGTGTAGCTCTATAATCAAGTTGATAAACTTATCATTGAAACACATATTGTACAAGTATAATGATCAACCTACATATTAAACGTTGAGTGAATTAAATTAAAAAAAACAAAAAACAAAAACAAAAAAAACGAATGGAATAAAAATAAATAAACATGGTTCATAGGAATCTTCTCCTCTATCAATAGATAAATTTAATAGCTCAAAATATAGAAATATTTACAAAACACATACGCTGCGAGCAGGGTTCGAACCTGCGCGGGAAGATCCCATTGGATTTCAAGTCCAACGCCTTAACCACTCGGCCATCACAGCTACACATATACACACATCATAAGACCTTATCAGTGGGCGGATCCAATGAAGCTAATGCAAAAATAGATAATTGGCCGTGTCACTTCGTTTGAATGTCAGTCGTTTTTTAACACAGGGCCTCCTATTTTTCATTTGCGTCTGAAATGAGAACGAAAATTTTAATACTTAATTAGGAAATCAGTGGGTCCTATTAAACACAAACAGTCGAAATTACAATACAGCACAGAAAACAAATATGAATTAGTAGTGACTAGTGAAAAATGTCATGCAATATGAAAATTTGTACGTAATTTAAACCTTTTTTTTTATTTAGAATATAAGAAGAGTACAGAATAGGCCCAGGCCTATATAAAAGGAAGATAATAATGATCGAATGGAACGAATGCACAGGAGGGAGTGAATAGAACGAATGGCAGGAATATAATTACACAAGTGAAATGAATGAAATAAAAATGACAGTAATAAACGGAAAGGAAGACAGGAAAGGAATGAACGGAATTAATAGAAAGTACATAAAAAATGGAAAAATTAAAGAAACTATGAATGAACGGAATTAACATAATTAACGTAAATAACAGAATGAACGGAATTAACCGAGGAAGGGCGAAATGAACAACATTTATAAGGCGCCAATTATTAAGTTAATATCCTAATTATTGAAACAAATATAAGCTCAATTTGAAAAATCAACCTACATGTTAAGCTTCGAAAATACGAAAAACGTGCGCAGCAATTTTCTCAGCCACCAATAAAAAAAATTATCAAAATGCAGATATAGGCCTATTCCAAAAAATATTCGCTGCGAGCAGGGTTCGAACCTGCGCGGGAAGATCCCATTGGATTTCAAGTCCAACGCCTTAACCACTCGGCCATCACAGCACACATACTGATTCAACCGCTAGCCTTGTTCTGTTCATCAATGGGCGCGGTCCGCCTGCTTTTTTTAAATGTGCTTAGTTAGCAAATGGAAAAAATACATTGTTTTCCATAAGAACAAAAAGGTGCACTGACTATGTTCTGAATAAAATAAAACAAAAGTGATTCCAAATAGAGAAAGTGAGTTCATAATAACTCAACGTTTCGACTTTATAAAGTCACTATATAAGTAACTTTCTCTAGTTGGAATCACTTTTGTTTAATTTTATTTAACATAACACATTGTATAGGTACACAAGTGGAGGAAAGTCATATTTATTTTCATTTATTTATTTGTTCTTTATACTGGGTAACCTCTTCAGTCGTACCCTTTTTATCCTGTCTGAAACGTGTGAAACAAACATTTTTATCACAGAATCTACAGAAAATCAAAAAGGGCCGCACCTACTCGATATCCGACATCGATGATTTACCCCTAAAATATTATCATTTGAACTCAACTAGTAAATGATTACGGAGTACAAAGCTATTCTATCTGTTGATGATTCATGTATATACAAGAGTGCTTGCTTTGATATTTAAAATAGAAAATAATTGCTTATATATAGGCCTATATATATGTTTTTAAATAAGAAATAATACTTTTTCTATTTTAATGGTTTTTAAATAATTAAAATATGCTTTGAATAATGTCAATAATTTATAAGTTTTATTCTAGTTTAACTTGTCTGATGTTTCCTGTGCATTTTATATGACTGGTATTTAATAGATAATTGCATTTAATTATTTTTTATAAGACTTAAATATTTTTGAAATTTTAATGTTTTTAAGTGATATTTTATTAGGCTAATAATTTTAATTAATTAATTATCTTACTGTAGCCTACAGTAGTTTTATATATGTATTTTTATCTATCGATTTTTTAAACAAGCGTCGTCAGCTATTGGCTGTTGTTTTGTATATGTTTATACAGAAAGAAATAAAATAAATAAATAAATAAATACATTCAACATAGCACATCTCTCTACCAATCACGAATATGTTTTGTACAGCCTTTTCGTTTGCAATTAACCAAAATTGTTCATCACATAGCCTAATAGTGGCTGTCAATTTCATTTCAATTTTTTTTCTCTCAATTAAATACAGAAACAACAATCGTTTACAATACAACATAATATAAGCATACAACATCAGAAACAGACTTTAATTTGAGCCATGTTCCTACACATTATCTTTTGTTGTTGATTGATAGGTGATTCATTAGTTAATAGTAATTTAAGTCATTTCAGTCTTGCCAAAAACTTGTAATTATGTTGTTATAATCCAAAGCCTACATTTTCACTGCAGAATGAACGCAACATAATCTAAGAATTCATTGATTTTCATCAATCTTCTCTGTCTTCTATTAGTTTATTAATTGGAACATACATTATTGTTTTCATTTTTAAATCTTTAACTGGAATCAGTGGATATCTAGAGTAGGTGTGTGTGGGGGAGGGGGTTGGGGTAGGGGAGTCCAACAAATACTCGCGCTCCCCCAGTCGCCCACAAACAAAAACAAAATCACGCTCAAGTATTTAAAAATCACTTCAAACCAATCAATTATTTTGTGAGCTAGCTCCCCCTGACCTAATCATTGAGCCCCACTTCACTCTCGTATTCCCATTTCAAACTAGTAGGCCCTACGCCAGCTCAACTGATGTCTTTGTTGTTGCGATGAAATGAACGCTATCGGTCGCACGTATGTATACATGCGGAACATAAGCAGGCTGCAATACGATGAGTGAGCTGGGAAGTACAGTAGTCGGTCTAAGTTGTATGCTAATTGACAATTGAAGAAAGATAAGTGTACTTGGGCATTGATGGAGTTGAACGTCAGAGTAAGATTAATGCATTTCAATTTTTAATTGACAGGATACCAATGGAGATCTGAAAGATGGGTGTAATTTGAGAATATAGCCAGAGTAACAATACGAGCGGAGGAGAATCGCGTAAAATCACGTTATTTAACAATTGCATATTTTATGCAGTGCTTACTAATAATGAAGGGTTCTTGTATTAAAATCAAAAGGCGTATACTAGCTCAGTTAATCTACAGTAGTCTTTCTGGTTGGGAGAAGTAATCGCGAATGATGTTTGAGATCCGCGAGTGCTGCCTTACAGGCCCAAACCAGATGAAAAGCCCAATGATGAAGTTAGCATCATTGACTTTCTTGATATGATAAGCCAACCTGAGAGTGTAAAAAAATATTTGCAGGGTTCTTGATGAATCAAGTTTAATAAAAGCTGTTGTCAGTAGCGTCGGGCATTCGGAACAAAAAAAAGGCCTAGTTTTCTCATCCCAGCCATTTCCGGCCATCTAGAAGTCCCAATTATTAAAGAAAAATCTCGTTTTGGGAGGAGGGGCACCCCCTCCCATACCCACCCCTGGCTCTAGCCTTCGGCCCTCAGATAACGCTGCGCGCTATAGTTACACTCATAAGTACTTAGCCCCCCTCCCCGTTGTTCTGGAAAGCACATAGAGACGTACCGATATGCGCTAGGCCTACATTTTGTGTTGGCCATTGACCGTTATGTGCAAGACATTCAAAACATAACAAATAATATGGACATTAACATATCCGATGTGTGGCTTGCAATATATATATTAAGTAAGTTACAGTTAAATTTAATGGTTATGAAATGATGATTGGGGGCGGACTAAATTGATGAATCATTATCATTATCACCAACATCATCATCAGCACCATCACCGTCATCAACATCATCATCATCGTTATCATCGTCATATCAGCATCACCATCATTATTACTATTATCATTAATAATATTCACATTAAACACACGTCCACTCCATCCAACTCACGAGGCTTTGGAAAGCATAATTGTGTCATATGGAGATCAATTTCTTGACAATGCACATCTTTTTGTGTATAAGAAAAATTAAAATAATATTTTTAAAATGTAATTTCAAGTTTACACGTTTAACTTAACGAACTCTTTGGTCATTGACTTATCACTTTGTGGATTGTTCCGTATTAAGGTAGTGTCCATTATTCCAAACACAGTTGTCGGTCGACGCGGTTATATTATTGCAACGCGACGAGGCGCACGAAGCGGATCCGTTTTATGACAATCCGCTAAGATTGTCACCGAAGTCGTCAACTCACTTCCAAGGTGGAGATAGATTTGTTGCCATAACACAGTGTGTGCCCAGCTTACGAATTTCCTATTGCATGGTCAATCTAGTTATTGTTAATATAATGGAAATCGCCTTGGAATTATAAAAAAAAAAAAGAAAAAAGAAAAAAGAAAAAGAAGTTACGTATAATATGCCAAAGTTAGCAATAGTGTTTTTGACATAAGAAATTGTGAGGAAAACCAACTACGTGTACCAGCTAACTAACCTAAATGATGTGGCGTTACCTCGCTTTAGAGTTGATATTGATCATTAAATACATTTCTTTCATAGACGGTAAGTACTTATATTTTGTCATTAGTTTCTTTTTAAAGATAATAGCGTTAATATCTGCTGTTGATTACGTAATAGGTCTACCGGTGTTTGTGTAAGGTCTACTGTACATCGGATTGCTTGCTAAAGTATTTTGGGTACTTTTTATTTTCGGGGAGCTGCCGGCACTTTTTGTATGCTTTGTCAAAAGAGATTTGTAAAATATTTTTTACAAGAAACAGACGATTGATCTAAAACTCTTTAAAATATGGACAGTCATTAAAACTGATTAAAACACAATATAAATGTAAGAATGATAATAATAATGATACATTTATTGATGTAGATAATGATTTGATGGTGATGAATTAAACGAAATGAAAAATAAAATAGGCCTTAAGTAAAATCGATAATACAATGGCACACGTCAATTGACGGTGCGTTAAAAACAAAAAATTCAAATTAACAAATCAAAACAATTACAATTAATAATTTGACCAGAAATAGATAGATACAAAAATAAAGAATATAAAAGAAATTCTGAAAAAGACAAATTAACTAAGAAATTATGTACGATCCCACTAAATTATGATCCAGTTTTTGAGTAACCTTGCTAATAGACAGACAGTAATACATAACCTCCTTGGCGGAATTAATTAAAATTAAAATTAAATTTTAAAATGAAATTAAGGAGTAGACGATGAACAAACAATTACTTTGTATTGATATTTTGACACCTCTCTGAAGGTCAATAAGCTTTCGACGATGAATTTTTTTGAATGTTCCATCAACAGCCTATTGCGAACCACCGTGGCAACCGATGAACGGCCACTGTTACAAGCACGTAAAAACGGCAGCTAATTGGTTCACCGCAAAATCTGCCTGCCAAAACGAACAATCGAGCCTTACAACATTATCATCCCTTGGAGAGGCGTTCGATGTCTACGATATGGTTAACGACAACGGCGGATGTTACATTTGGATTGGTTACCATGACAATGATGTAGAAGGACAATGGGTATGGGTTGATCCAACCGAGCACACTTCTTTTGAAGGTAAAAGAGGAAAATTTAGTTTCAAGTTAAAAATTATGGGTTTTTTTCATATATTATTTACCTATGTTGTTTTTTTTTAATTTGAATGTTATGAATTTTTAGCCACTACATACATACTTATATTAATTATGTTTTTTATTTCTTCTCTGATTATTTTCATGTTTTGTAATTCGAATGTTTTTATAGGATATGGCGTACACACACATACACACACACACACACACACACACACA